TTTGTTGGGGTGAGGTTGGGCAGAGAGTGATGGGCAGTACAGAGATCGTGATTCAGACGACAGAGCAGATACAGCGGGTCAGACAGAGGTTATTGACCACCCAGAGCCGACAAAAGAGTTATGCGGACAGGCGTCGGTCCGAGCTTGAATTTCAGGTCGGCGACTTCGTTCTCCTGAAGGTTTCTCCTTGGAAAGGGGTGATTCGGTTCAGGAAGAGGGGCAAGTTGGGGCCCCGGTTTATAGGTCCATTCCGTGTGATTGCGAGGGTAGGCCGGGTAGCCTATCGGTTGGAGTTGCCAGCAGAGTTGGGACAGATTCACGACACTTTTCATGTGTCGCAGTTGAGGAAGTGTATAGCCGATGAATCGGCAGTGGTTCCGTTATAGGATATTCAGGTAGATGCAAGCCTGAATTATGCCGAAAGACCAGTGGCCATTAGGGATCGGAAGATCAAGGTTTTGAGAAACAAGAGGTACCTCTGGTGTTGGTTCAGTGGCAACACCGGAGGGGATCAGAGATGACCTGGGAACCAGAGCGTATGATGCAGGAGCAGCATCCGGAACTGTTTTTAGAGCGAGACTTCGAGGGCGAAGTCTAGTCCTAGTGGGGGAGAGTTGTAACAGCCGGATTTTTATCAGGTATCTTGTTTATTGTATTTTGTTGATTTGTGAGGGGGACTCAGCGAGTTGGAGCTCAGACTCGCCGAGTAGGGACGCGGATTTGGACGCGGGATCACGCCTGGACTCGGTGAGTCAGCGCTGTGTAATGAAACCCTAATTTCTCGGGTTTGAGACTTATTTAAAGGGCCTAATGGCCGTCATTTGTGCTCACCAGCCCCTTGAGTGAAACCCTAATTGAGTGTGAGCATTTGGAGCTAAGTAGGAGGCCATTATTGACCTTGGAGGTGCCATTGTTGCAAGGAAGGAGAAGAGTTAGCCAAGGGAAAGCAAGAAGGAGCCACTTCTGTGGGTTTGGAGTCCAGAGCATCACTTTTGTGGTAATAAATCCGAGTTACCTTCTTGTTTGTTGTTGTTTATCTAGATTTAGGGTTTGTTGAACCCTTTTATGGCAAGATTTGATGTCCTTTTGGTCCCTTATGAGGTTGGAACCATAGATCTGGACCCTTAGAGGTCCAGGGTGTCCCTTTACCCAAGCTTTTTGGGGATCAATGGAGGCTTTGGATTCGAATCCTCATGCCTTAGGTCAAAAACTCCATTATTGAGCTATAGGGTGTGTTATGAGCACCAAGATAGGAGCTTTACGTGATGAATCAGTCGTGGGAGGCCAGAACTATAGTTTTTGGAAGCAGATCTGACCTTAGAAGCGAGTTTGAGTGGTTGCATGGCATGGACTCGCCGAGTCTGTTCATCCGACTCGGCGAGTAGCTTGAAGATTGCCTTGGGACTGCTCAGCGAGTGGTCCAATCGATTCATGGGTAGACTCAGTGAGTCAGGGTGAGTTGGAGAGGGATGACGAGTGGACTAAGTCAAACTTGGACTCGCCGAGTTGTCCTTGAGACTCGGCGAGTTGAGTCGGGGTGGCCCCGCGATTCATTCAGGTGAAACTCGTCGAGTAAAGGGGGGATACTCGACGTGTAGTAAGAGGATTTCAGAGGGTTGGTGAAAACGTCTAGACTCGCCGAGTCGCCATGGTACTCGCCGAGTCCGGTCAGAGTTGACCGTTGACCGTTGACCAGAGTTAACCTGTGTTGACTTCTTATAGATAGTCAACCTTAGAGATATAAAGTGTTAATTAGAAACATATAATGTTATAGGAGGATTAGAGCTCGGAGGATCGAGCACGAGGGATTTCCAGGATTCGTGAGATACCGAGATACGCGAGGTGAGTCTTCTCACTATACTATATTACCTTGAGTAGGTAACCAGAGTTATGTGATAGAGTATTTGTATGCTATGTATGTTATGTGTTATACTGCATTATTTCTATGTGATTTATGTAGTGCATGTTTATCAGAGCTAGAACCTGAGGGTTCACAGAGTTTGGGTGCACGGACCCACAGAGTTATAGCCTCGAGTGGCTAATATGTGTTATATGTGGTATTTTGGGGAACTCACTAAGCCTTGTGCTTACAGTGTTTGATGTTATTGTTTTAGGTACTAGTGACGACCGCGGGAAGGTGCCGGCTTGATCCGTACACACACACTCGGAGTTTTTTTTATTGTGATCTTGGGATTTTGTATTAACCTATATTGGATAATTAATATGGTTGTTTGATGAATATTAATCGAATTATGTTTTATAAGGAAATCGAAAAATTTGTTTTGAAATTTACGGTGTTACAAGGATCATATAATCCTCTGTTCTCAAGATATCATCCGGACAAATACATGGAACACAGTCATTCTTATTGTCTAGCATTTGTTTATTGGATGTATGATAACTTGGTTCACATTATGGGTTCATGTATGGTTTTGAGAATTCGCTAAAGCACGAATACATAAGGTTTGTACAAGGTTATGTAGGTGTGTTATGGATGCACAAAGGTTTGATAGAGATCAAGGAAAAGTTATGTAAACTTCATGGTGATTGGTTTGATGTGAAAGTCTTAAGATCGACTTAGAAGGTTTGAGTGGATAATGGTTTGTTATCTAGGTATGGTTTCAAGTATAGTTGGGAGGTTTACACTTATATATATATATATATATATATATATATATATATATATATATATATATATATATATATATATATATATGTGTGTGTGTATGTGTGTGTGTGTGGTTTGTTATCTAGGGCCCTTCCCCACACCTCACAAGACCTTGTGGGGAACTTATTTTTTATTATATATGTGAATCACAATTATAGTAACACCTGTCAATGTATCTAGCATTTTTATGTTAGCAACAATCATTAACGGAACACACATATGTTTTTAATATCTTTAGGGTTTAATTTAGAAAACCCTTTTATTGTTATTTTTTAGTTTGTGAATGTTAGAAAGAACAAATAAGAGAGTCCATACCAATGAGAATTGATTTTTTGAAAAAAAACTATATAAAAAATCAAATTCAATAATGTGTAAAACTATTAAAATCTTTAAGAAAATAAAAAATTATCATTAATGAGTTCTATTAAATGATCTAAGATCACAGTATACTACATTAAGTTAATTTAAACAATTCGCTAAAAGATTTGTTTGTTGGTTTGATCAAGTTATAAACAAATCCACCTGCAATTGCCCCGATGAGTGGACCAAATATGTACACCCAAATTCCTTTGTAACTATGGAGTACGATGGCTGGTCCAAGGCTTCTTGCTGGATTCATCGATCCTCCGGATATCGGTCTGAATACAAATAAAAAATAGATTCTCTTAAATGAATTTCATATAATTAAAAATCGATTGTACTGATAAAATAAATTCATTAGAGTTAGAAAGTTACCCTGCTACTAAGACGTTTAGTGTTATAGTCATACCAACTACAATCCCTCCATACTTTTTATTCTGCAAATTTAATTTAAAAAATTATGTTCCTGTTATTTTCCATTAAAAGTATTGTATGTCAAAACAACCATTTTAAATCTTAAAGTTGATATGTACATACTTTATTAAGAAATCTACTGAAAAGTCGTTATGTTTAGATCTCATAATTGATTTAGTCATTATCTTTTTTTAGTCAATTAAATTCCAAAAACCGTCAATTGTATTTATTTTGACTAGCTTACCTGGTAAACAGGTCATCTAACTTTCAAAAATTACACTTTTGGCCCAAATTTTAAATTTTATCACAAATTTGGTTCAAAATTTACACTTTTGGCCTAGATTTTAATTTTTTTTAACAAATTTGGTCCAAAATTACACTTTCACCTAGATTTCAGAATTTTGTTACAAATTCATCATAAATTTGATTTTTTACATTTTTTTCCAAAATTTTGTCTCAAATATGTTTTTTTTATAAAATCATATTTATACAAAAAAACATATTTTCACGTAAAAATCCTTATTTTTCTATATTTTTCTATATAAAAACTTTTTTAACATTTTTGTATGCGAAATACCTAATTATAAAAATATGTATTCATTAACTACGTAAATAAATAGAAATATGTTTTTATAAATAAAAAAGTGAATGTAAACATATATTTTGTAATATATATATATATATATATATATATATATATATATATATATATATATATATATATATATAACACCTACTTTATAATAAATGCATTTGTATACAAACACATTTTTATCAAGAAAATTTAGACGAACACGTATTTTTATAAAAATGTATGCAAAAATGTTTATATATACACACACACACACACACAAACAAACACATATTTCGTAGTAAACGTATTTTTATATATGTATGTATCGATATGCACACAAATAGGTGTTTTATACATTTCTTTTATAAAAACGTGTGTTGATACATGTTTATAAATGTTTGTTATTTTTTTTTTATAAAAATGTATTTGTATATATTTTTGTAAAACGTGTATTTATATACAAACACGTATTTTATAACAAACATGTTTGTATACAAATGCATTTATTATAAAATAGGTGTTTATAATAAAAATATATACAAATATGTTTTTATAAAAAATTATATACAAAAACCTATGTGTGCATATAAAATATAAATATATACAAATATGTTTACTATGAAATAGGTGTTTGTATACATTAATTTATAAAATACGTGTTTGTATATATTTTTTTTATAAAAAATGGATTTGTATATATTTATGCACTTAATAAATGCCTAATTTTATAAATACGCATTTTGCATACAAAAATATATTTTTTTTAAAAGTTATATAGAAAAAAGAAGATTTTTAATGTGAAAATATGTTTTTTTTTTTGTATAAATATGATTTTATAAAGCAAAAAAAAAAAAACAAACATTTGAAAATAAAAGGATGTAAAAAAACTAAATTTTGATAAATTTGTAGCAAAATTTTGAAACCTAGGCCAAAAGTGTAAACTTTTGATCAAATTTATAATAAAAATTAAAATATGAGCCAAAAGTGTAAATTTTTGATCAAATTTATAATAAAATTTAAAATATGGGCCAAAAGTGTAGTTTTTGAAAGTTTGATGACCTGTTGACCTTGTAAAAGGTTAAATTCATGGTTCTAAATAACGTTAGGCATGACTTGGCGACAATGTCAAGTCTCAAGCTTTGCCGAGCCATAACGTTTGTAACTCATGACATAAGGCACAAATTTTGTATATATTTAATAAGTTTATATATTTTTTCTACTATTATTAATTTTTATATACATATATGACTCAAGACGGTATTTTGTCAAAATTTGGCGTCAGGTACAAGCGTTGGAGACATGGCACGCCATGGCGAAGCCATGACAATCTTTTTAGAACATGGGTTAAATTGAATATAATTTCCGGTTTTTGAGACTTAGTTGACTAAAAAATAAAAACTAAATTGATTTTAAGACCTAAACATAAGGATTTTTTCGTAGATTTTTCTATTTTATTTTTTATAAAGTAGTAAGTAAAATATATAATAAATAATATGAATACAAAAAGCAAGTTAAAACATGTAAAACTTACATGTTTTCTCACTCATTTTGCTTTTTTAATAGATGAAACATGCCATTTCAAAGTTTATATAAATAAGATTTGAATTTGAGACAAGTTTTACTAATGTGTTTAATTCTCAAAGTTTTTTTTAATAAAACATCAAAGACACATACTTTATTTATAAACTACACATTTTGTCCGATCATGAATTTAGCTTTCAGTCTATGAGTTATGTCATATTTCCACAAACACCTTATATCGTTAGATTATAAATCATTTGATCTATAATCACATTATAATATACTAATTAAAAAAAATTATTATGAAAAATGAAAAATATATTAATCCTCTAATTTCAATCCTAGACCTAAATAACTTTAATTTTAAAGGAGAAAAATATTGTTAAAAAAGGAGAGAAAAATTAATTAGTTCGTCCTCGTTTCAAATACAAGTATATGTTTACTTAGAAAAAAGGTTACAAATGATACATACCGCCCTATGATCATTAGTGGCACCCGAAACAATGAACATCATGATGAAAGTAATAATGATCTCGACAACAAACGATTGCATGATTGAGCCAGATGGTCTAGTTCCAAAAAAAGCTTTCGGGTTTATGTCTATAATCAACACCACTGTCCCGCTAGCCAGAGTTGCTCCCAAAATTTGTGATACTATATAAAAGAACACCTACATAATGTGGAACATAAAACATTTGTGGACAAATGTAGAGTTTGAGTTAATTTTCAAAGGTGTGCAAGTGTAAAACTAAACAAGAAAAGTGCATTCGTTCATTACCTCCTTAAAAGGAAACAAACCCAAGAGAGCGAAGGCAATGGTGACAACAGGATTGAAGTGGGCGGATACATGACCAAGGGAGTAAATCATAGCCATGACGATTAGTCCCCATGTTAGACATATTCCAGGAAAAGTGATTGTGCCACCATAAAGCTTATTCACCACTATCGACCCACTACCAGCAAACATAATAATATACATTCCAATAAACTCAGCTAATACCTGTATATGTAACACAACAACTGAGCCAAAAAAGTATATCTAAACACGTAGATGCATTATATTGTTTGTATTCAAGATTATTAAACATACCCTTTGTGTCAAATCAATCAGAGGATTCGAGGAAAGGGCCAAATTAGAACTAAAGACCACATCGCCTTTCTCCACTGCTGAGACATTTGATTCATCAATAATATCACTCGGAAGTTCCATAATCCAAGATAACTTACCCTGTAACTAAACAAATGAGAAAAAAGTTGATAAAGTGAATAAAGGGTTGTTGGTTGATGATGTTTATAGTGAGGCCGAGTCTTATGTTACTTTATTTACCATGATTAGTTTTAACCTATTTTTGGAAACTTAAAAGGCGATTGGCCAATAATGTCGTTGTTTATCATGAAGTCAACATGGCATATTTGTTTTGTGTTTTTTTACAATTGTTATTAATGTGGCATAACTTACAGTTATTTGGAATGAAAAGCTTTTATGATTACCACCAATATCAGAAGTGGCTTGAGTAGCGACTCCCCAGTCCCCACAATCTCCTGATCCTTGATGTTCAATTTAATTTGTATCTCAAGATACGGATTTATTGACAGATGATTAAAAGTTTATGTATTTTGATTGATAATGCAAAATTTTTCCAACCCAAATCAATTAAAATATACATAAATTAATTTAAAAAAATGCAATGCAAGACACCGATCTAAATCGGTCACCCAATCAAAGAGTTTGTTCACATGTTTTCGTTGTATACTTGTATCGGTATCTTTATCTTATGTTTTTCAACTTATAAATTATGCTTAATATTTATTAATAAAAAAAAATATATTTTTTCTCCACAAATAAAGATTAATATTAATATATTTTTTTACTTTTTAGATTTAAAAAATAATAAAAGTTTATTTTTTTTGCAATGAAAATATATTTAACAATCCTGCAAAAAAAGATTATAAGTAATAACATTTTAACAAAAAAATGTTGAGATAATTTAGACTGTTTACTTAATAGGATTCGATTAATTGGTTTGGATTTTTAACCGATTTTGTATCGACCCGACTCAAATCAAGCAATTGAATTTGATCCTTATGATCAGCTCTACCGCCAACTCCAATAGAGCAACCTTTTGGTGTTTCATAGCTCCAATTAACCTTTATTTTTATCACCAACAAAATAACTTTGATGAATAGTAACACGTCATTTTGGTAATATACTTTTAGTTTACACTAAAAATATCAAACTTTATTTTATACATAAATTACTAGATAATTGATATGAATTTTTTAATATATTATTATAATCTAACTGAATGCTTTTAAAACGATCAAAATATTAAATATGATACATCTAAACTTTAGTTATTCACAAAAGATCATGGGCTTTTTTCTTGAAGAACTAACATAATGGGTTTGTTGTTGTTGTTGTTGATGTATTTAAAATTTATTGATTTTATTTTTGCAAACTTCTATAATATAATTTTTTAGAAATTAAGAAATCAGTAACTACATATCATAACTGTTATACTTTAATAATATAAATATATTACTATAAAGATGGAAGGAGTGGAGTAAAAGGGAGAAGAGCAGGTTATACCGTTATATGAGTTTGATCATAAAAAAGAAAAAGATTGATTGACTTGGGGGTTGGAGAGAGAGAATGAGAGAAATATATGGGGATGTGTGGGTCGTCTAACCTGAACAAAGAAAGAAACATGGAAAAAGTGGAAGAAAATAAGGTTGAGTTGGTTGGTTGGACACAAAATTGGTGGGAATATCATTCTCTTCTTCATGGGACTCACGGTACTAGAGGGTTAAATGACAAACACCTTCCACCCTAAGAGTATAATATTTATTTATCAAAATATTAAATATATGTCTTACTTTGATGTTTTTATATTATAGTTAAAGTTAAAATAATGCTAAAAAATTATTATTTCAATGTTATTTTTGTAACAAGGCCGGAACCGTAGTGAGATCAACTCAATTCTAGGCTAATATAGTAATTTATTTGATTTGTTTGGTTAGAGAGGTCAATAAGAAATTGAGGAAAAGAAGACTATGATGGTTCAGACGTGTTTATAAAGACACAACCGAGGGCCACGACAAGGAGGATGTAGGCGGTTATGGTTTATGGTAAAAGGATGAAAGGATGTCCAAAGAAGAAAAGTGAGAAGATAATGTGAGGATGGATTTGAAGGAGTTTTCTATTATCAATGACATGATCTCAAATAAAAGGGTGTGGAAACATATAATTAGTAGATTACAAGTAATCAATTAGTATAAGAATAAACTAAAAACTAGATCTGTGTCCTTTTTTTCTCATTGTTTGTGCTTGATGCTTGATCATGATGACCTTATTACCTGACATTTATAGCCATAAAGTTATTGAATTTATCAAGCTTAGGCCCTTCTCGTTGGCCTAAAACTCTCCCTTAGCTTAGTTTTGGCATTTAATACCTTGCATGCACGTAAAGTTTGCAACTTTACGTGGAATTTGTGTCTTAGGAAGCTAGATCTACAATTTGGAGCTTTAGGGTAGCTTAAAAACGTCTAAATGAAAAATAAATTGAAGGGACTCAACGAGTTGCATGGTCAACTCGACGAGTAATATGAAGATTGGTCATGGTTGGTTTTTGCATGGACTCGGTGAGTCAGCGAGATGACTCGACGAGTCAGTTAGGGTTTTCCCGACATTCGGACACCGCATGGACTCAACGAGTTGTCTGGAAACTCGGCAAGTCAACTAGGGTTTTCGAGATTTCTCAAGTTCTGGAGGGACTCGACGAGTCAGTAGGATACACTCGAAGAGTTAGGTCAACGTGGTATGTTGACCTTAACTGTTGACTTTGACTTTGACCAAGGGTTAACCAATTCGACTTTTGGGGGTATTTTAGTAATTTGGGAATTTATGGAGGTGGATCATTGGTGGATGTAGGTGTTTGAGTTGGAGATGTATTTGGAGGAGTCTGACATTATCATCCCTAGCTACTTGTGTGTAACGCCCGTAGATCTGGGCTAGTCAATTTAGAGATAATAGGGGTCGAAAACGACTTTTCGACAAAAGATTATCTATAATAAATAATCTTAATCAAGTTGTATAATATGTATCAAGGGTTTCGTACATATAAATAACGCTAAAATCCGAGTTATAACGAAGAAGTTATGGCCCGTCGAAGTTTTTCGGTAAAACCGGCACGGCACCGGGAGACGTAAATAGTGAATTTAAGATAGAAAACTTTTTAGAGTTAGGGATCTAAATGAAATTTGTATAATACGTCTCCACCTACGCGTGGATATAAAGAACGTCAAAAACAGAGTTCGTATGCAAAAGTTATGGCATTCCGAAGATTTAGCTTTTAAAAACCCTAAACTAGCTAATTCACGACTTGATAATTATGACGCTCACGAAATTCTGTCATAATTCGGAATCTAGAAGCTGCGAGAGGATAAGATCCAATTCACGACGTAATAATTATGACGCTCATAACATTCTGTCATAATTTGGAATCTAGAAGCTGCGAGAGAATAAGATCCAATTCATGACGTGAGCTTTATGACACTCACGAAGTGAAGTGTCATGGCCACCATCCGAAGCTAGAGACGCAAATGGCAAGTCTGCAGAGTGAATGATGAGATTCACGACGTGAGTGTCATAAAAACTTACTATAAATAGCATGCGAGCCATTCCGAAAATCTCACACCTTTCTTCATTTCTTCTCTCTAAACTTTCTCTCTCTAAGGGTTTTAACCCTCCCCTAAGCCTAGGTGATCCCCTAGCACCCTAAGGAAGCCCCGAAGCTCCCGGAGTCCCGAGAAAAAGAGTCTTTCGGTTTCAAAACGCTGCTCCAAATAAAGCCCTTTAAAAGCCGTTGTAAGTGAGCTACGCTTACGCAATTTTTAATATAGTTTTCAAATAATTATAGTAATGTTATTAGGTCCTTCAAATAATTATTTGGGCTATTATTATGAGTTATATTGAGTGTTATTTAACGCTTATATAATAATAATAATAATAATAATAATAATAATAATAGCTAGACTATTAATTAGTCACGGTTGACGTTAGACTAAACCCTAGTGGAATTGTACTAGGTTTTATCGAAGGAAAATTGTTTTGAGAGTATCGAAGCGTTGTCCGAGTGCTGAATCACCACCTACTCAAGTGAGTGTATAGTCACTTTCACCTTACACATATATATGAAGTATTTTCTTTTAAATACGTGCTATGTGTAATTATATTAATTGTTTAATTAAGGTGATTGTTGAATAGATGTTTTATACAAGTTTTAAACTGTATATGTATTTTTATCTACAAATATGTTGGGTAAAACATGGTAGATGAATTAGATGATGTGTGATGAAATAAAAGGTGATGAGAGGTATCGATGTTTAAGATAATCTTGTCATCTAGCAGAGTATAGACAACGGCCACATACTATTTTAGATAGTCCAGTGGAATGTTAGCAGACTTGTAATCGGTAGGTATGTTTGAACTATATGTTCATAAGGTGTTCTTGAACTATATGTTCATTAGGTGTTTTTGAACTATGTGTTCATCCGTTAGTTCTTCTTTTTGACACTATTACATGTCGGGGTATGGGAGCGTACGGGAGTACTTTATTAGTATTTTCCCTATACCTTTATTTTGAAGAGATTTGGAGTCTTTGTTTCTTTTATGAAGTGATCGGACGAGCTTCATGAGTCAGTGTTTCCATTCTCAATGCCGGATAGAAGTGAGTCTGTGGGTTATATACCTCATGATATTCAGACCACAACCTAGGCATTAGTCAGTGTTTCCATTCTCGATGCCGGATAGGAGTGAGTCTGGGGGTTATATACCTCACGATATTCAGACCACAGCCTAGGCATTAGTCAGTGTTTCCATTGCTGGATAGGGTGCGTTTAGGGGTTATATACCTCATGATATTCAGACCACAACCTAAGCATTAATAATTATCCCTGACTTAATTGTCTGGTGGTCCTTTTTTTTACGAAAAAAGGTCTGTGGTTAAACTTATTCCATTCATTTGATGTCTTCTTCGATCCTCGTTTGCTGCTAGGGAATTTCCGAATCAGTTTCGTTAGTTGGTTGTTCATATCGATCCTTTAGGCTAAATTGTGACATCCCCATTTTCACGGCCAGAAAAGACCGATTTGTTTATGCTTTGTTTTATAAAATCAGAGTAATCTTTTAAAGAAAACGGTTGCGGAATTTGTTTCCGAAACA